ACCAGATACGCTCATAGGACTTCAATAAATATGCGCATAGCCACCTCTAGAGAAGGCTATGATTTGTGTCTATTACTTTTTTTTATATCAGTACTGATTCAACTGTAAAATTGATCAATACAGGTAAAAAGTATAGAAAAATATATCATAAAGCAAACTTAAATTTAAAAACTCAAGTTTCAAAAAAGAATTTTTTGTTAAGTGCCATTTATAACGTGTTGCAACTTGCAACTACAGTGCTGTAGTAGGCCCACTGTAAGTTTCTTTGCATACTCAAAAGACAAACATGGTGAATACATAGATTACGTCCTTAATCTAGTTATTAGTTATTAATTTTTACGATAGTATTCTACATACCATTTATTAAGTTGGAAAGAGTAGCAAGGTCTCCAAATTATTTTATGAAACATTGTTTCTAAAGTATGTATGTGAAATATTTTTCAGTCCTCGACTCAACCGACAAAAGAACGACTGATTTCCATACAACTTTATATAAATGCTAATAATGTTTAAACGTCTGTTAATTTTAGAAAACTTACTAAGAGTTTTAAAATTAAAAGCCCAAATTAATTCCAAAATTTATTCAAATGGCATTAACCTTCTCCCTTTAAAATGCATTGCAAAGCGAACCAGCTCAAACCACACTCCATAATTCACATAAATATCGACACAAGATGGACGAGCGTTGACAGCGAGTCCTCGCTTGTTGGTTAAGTCATGAAATGCAACACTCGGCAAGCGGTCTTGACGCCATTCATTATACAAACATACTTTTCCAATTCCCTTTGGTTCGAATCGAATCGTAAAGGGAAAAATGGAGCGGAACCGCGAAACCGGACTTTTGGCGCGTGAATATTGATGGCATCCATTAGATTGGCGGGAAATCGCGCTCACGGCGGTGCACGGGACTTTGGGAATTGTCAATCACAGGTACACAGGCGATTACGTGGAAAAGGATACTCTGCAGACCTCTGAGTGGTGAAAGCAGTGTAGATTTTGCTGGTTGGAATTGAATTAGAGACCAATTTCATGTTTATTTAGTTTTTAACTTTTTAATAATTGATAAGTAAAATCTACGTTTTAAAATTTCTACGTCTTTGTAGACCTAGGAAGAGATAGTTTGTAACTCGTTATCCAAATAATTATGTTTTCTAAGTTTTTCTTTTTTTAGTTTTTGAGCTTACGAAGCGGTTCAAACCACGTCGTAATATGCTTTAATAATTTAAGGAGTGTAAACCCAATACTGCGATGCAAAGTATCACATCGAACCCAATAAAAATACGTTTAAATTTAAACTTCTACTTCTACTCAATGCCAGTAGCTAAAAACACAATAAATGGACAGCCTTCAATTTAACGACCATTAACAAAGCAATCATCGTACTAAATGACGTGCAAAGCTATTGTCCCTGGACCGCAGTAATTATAGCCATGAATATGGCACTACAAACAGCGCTGATGACGTCACGCCGCCGGCTGCTTGTGCGACATTGTCCGCAAATATTAGTTTGAGCGGATTGTCCCTCCTCTTGTTGACTCGGAGCTCATCTTGTTTAGAACCAACATTTTGTTTTCGGTCTCAAATCCCAGTTTAAATAGGACTCCCTCGGGCTAGTCGCTGCCTCGCAACTCTCCCTGTCAAGATTTACTGAGTGCAATTTCAGATTGTCGGTCAGTGTTTAGTTACTTTTGCCGAGACAGTTTTCGAGAGTGAAAACAATGTTTTGTGTACAGTGTAGAAGCTAATTCCGAAATGCTTGCGTGCTTTCTATGGATTTTCCTCTTCCTAGCTAGGGTAAAGGGAAAAAGTATTCAATTAATACAATAAATTTAGTTTGTTTAAATCAATGAATCATTGATTCAATCAATTGAAAAATCAATAAAGATTACCAAAATCTATCAGGAGTTATGCGTTTCAAAATTATGATATCTTGCAATTTCTCAATAGTTAAGATTGTAACAGATTCACTGCAATATAGCTTGACATAACAGGACCAAGAATGTACTTTTAAGCTATTTTAAAAACAATAATTACATGAATTGAACGCTGTGAATATATAAAATTATATAAAATCGACAGAAGCCAATAATATTTTAGATTGCCAAGGTCGTAAAGAGTTAAGGAAATGGTAATATAGTATGTTTCTTTATTCTTCTGAGAAAGAAAACAATAAAGTCTTTGTAGGTAAATTTCTCTTCAAAGTAATGAAGCGAGCATAAAAACAATTGTTAAAAACAGAAGTGAGGGAACTCGAAACAAAGAAGTTGTTTGGAAATGAGAAAATGACACTGAGTGAGAACAAATAAGTCGCAAAGTTGAGAATAAAGTAGGAAATGACTGAAATGTTGGAACAATAAGGACAATAAGGGTGTCCGGTGAGACGAAGGGAACAAAGGGCTCTCGTAACAAGGTCGCAACAACTGGAGGTGCCGGACAAGAAATCAGCAGAGTGGATACACAATTAGGCGTAATGAGCAAGGGCTCATTAGCTTTGATACAGGGTAGAGAACTCATTATGAGCGGCGGCGGCACTACGATGAGACAACGATGTAACAACAGTGTCGTACTCGAGTGGTGCTTGGTAATACTATCAGGAGTAGAATGTAGTGTGTGTATACTACAATGGGTCAAACACGTAACAACATTGTTGTAGTCTAGCGGTGCTTGGTAATACTATCAGGAGTAGAATGTAGTGTGTGTATACTACAATGGGACGAAAACGTAACAACATTGTTGCAGTCTAGCGGTGCATGGTAATACTATCAGGAGTAGAATGTAGTGTGTGTATACTACAATGTGACAAAGACGTAACAACATTGTTGTAGTCTAGCGGTGCTTGGTAATACTATCAGGAGTAGAATGTAGTGTGTGTATACTACAATGGAACAAACACGTAACAACATTGTTGTAGTCTAGCGGTGCTTGGTAATACTATCAGGAGTAGAATGTAGTGTGTGTGTATACTACAATGGGACAAACACGTAACAACATTGTTGTAGTCTAGCGGTGCTTGGTAATACCATCAGGAGTAGAATGTAGTGTGTGTATACTACAATGTGACAAAGACGTAACAACATTGTTGCAGTCTAGCGGTGCTTGGTAATACTATCAGGAGTAGAATGTAGTATGTGTATACTACAATGGAACAAACACGTAACAACATTGTCGTTGTCTAGCGATGCTTGGTAATACTATCAGGAGTAGAATGTATAGTTTGGCCGCTTAGAAAACGACCTGCGCGTTAATGCTAAACCAATGTTGAATGAGGTTGCTTTCTAAGCGGCCGAACTATAGTGTGTGTATACTACAATGGGACAAACACGTAACAACATTGTTGTAGTCTAGCGGTGCTTGGTAATACTATCAGGAGTAGAATGTAGTGTGAGTATACTACAATGGGACAAACGTAACAACATTGTTGTAGTCTAGCGGTGCTTAGTAATACTATCAGGAGTAGAATGTAGTGCGTGTATTCTACAATGGGACGAAAACGTAACAACGTTGTTGCAGTCTAGCGGTGCTTGGTAATACTATCAGGAGTAGAATGTAGTGTGTGTGTATACTACAATGTGACAAACACGTAACAACATTGTTGCAGTCTAGTGGTGCTTGTTAAATACTATCATAAGATAATCCAGTGTATGTATATTGGAAAAATGAATTTCTTGACACGCAAACTACTAGCATATGGTTATAATCACGGTATTGGAGGTGATTTCCCAAATATATTGTATTGCTGCATAACCGAAATAATAATTTATTGAATTGATAAACTATGGGGGTAATCTGAACATAACCTAGTTATTATACCTTTACTCTCTAGTTCATAAGGATTTTTGAAAAAATGACCTAGACTTTAATTGCTTTCACACAACAATTAAAATCCTTATGCTCAATTTCCAAAAGAATAGTTTAACCTCACAACTACTAACTGAAAGATAAACTGTGTATGCAGATTTTAAAATTTTCCAACGTGTATCTATATCCAACAACACCAACAGTTCCCACCCCTTCGATGGTGTCACATCGCGTTGTGATCCCTAGTCAAATCTCGGAGGCAAAGTCACAGTGGGGAGTGAAGCTTGATGTAAATGCAGTTGCACTGATCAAAATCAACTCACTTCTTCACTCAGATATCGAATCGAATCGCATCGCATCAGTGTCGAGAAAAGGTCTGAATATCGTATTACATTCAAAGGCGCGCTCCTCTTTACCCTCTCACTCTCTCTATCCTTCTATGTCGTCCCTCTATCAATATCTATACCTTTATTTGTCTCTTATCTTTATTCTATTTGAACTGAGATTTTCGTTTTTCTTCCATTCGTAATGTTTGCGCTGTTTGATCGCTTCTTTGTCCAGCTTTATTTGGCAATCGATTCAATCTAATATTTTCAGATAATTCTTGTAATTCTACTCTTCTAAACATGTTCTACTTAGGCTTTGGCAGATAAACCTTAGTGGGAGATTCTATTAGCAAAATAAGATTTATTATATTCCAAAAATAGCATTATTCGTAAAAGTATTTGATGAACACAAATTATTACCTACTCAAACAGTTGATGAAATAAACGCAAAAAAAATTGTAAAATAAACTATTTAGTAAGTTGTAGTAAGCTTTAAACAATTGTCATAGGCACAATAATACAGTATTCTAACGTGTGATTTTTCCCATAGTAATTTAGAAAACTTAAAAGTTCTGCTAATTAATTGGAAATAGAACAATGATTGGCTGTGAACAACTAAAATTATTGTTTACTGTAAAATTATCCATGTAAACCGTAACATTAGACAAATTAAGCGTCGTAGTTTACTCCAATCTTGGATACAACAGCTTTGATGGACATAATTGTTTACCTCTGCATCTTTCGACCCTTTATACTTGTAACATCACAGTTAGTGAGTGTTAGCACTTCTCAAAACAACTAAGCCTTCATTACTGCAGCTAATAGTCCGGACATATTTGTTGGTACTTTGTGTTTTGAATTCATTCTCGTTTTCAGGTGTGGTTCCAAAACAGGAGAGCGAAGTGGCGCAAAGCGGAGAGACTGAAGGAGGAGCAGAGGAAGAGAGAAGATCAAGATATTGGAAAGAGAAACTCCGATAAGGACATCAAAGACTCTAAGGTAATTTCGAAAGGAAATGCTGATGATGAGCAAAACATATCTTTTAGGTGATCTAACCTCACTTTCCATGGTTAGGCTAACGTGTTAAGATGAGATCATGGGGAATTTTTCACTCATTAGGCCTGCATGAAAAACATGGCTAACAAATTTGATAATTTTAAATTGTTCAACTGTTTTTCTACGAAATATTGATAAACTAATCAACGTTTCATTGCCACTGACTGGTCCGTATTGTAAGCAAAATAACTAAAGGGACCAACCCAAATAAACAAATCCGTTAAGAGGTTTTGGAAGATATTTACTAGGCTTAAATATATTCATGTTCAAGACCTTATTCGTATTTTCTTTTTAAATACAAAGTTTTAATGCAAATTTTTCATACGAAGTTTGAAAGTGGGACATTAACAGTAAACTAAAAACCAGACACATGAAAGTATCATATAAATCGCTTTCTATCATACACAAACTCTCCCCTTCACACAAAAACAATTAACACATAAAAATAAACCTTCCATGAAATTTCATCGTAAAAATTTCAAAAGAATAGGTTTTCCAAGACATTCAAATGCCCTTACCAACACAAAGAGAGCAATGCATTACAAACCACTGTGGAGCATCGTGAGGAAGTTTTATTTCATAACCGTGACAATATTTGACTCTGGCTTGTTTCCAAGGGGACCGCGTCTCGTTGTCCCTCCGTCTCGTTGTCCCTCCGTCTACTTGTACCTCGAGGCCTAGAGACAACTAGTCGTAGGTACAACTAGACGTAGGTACAAGTAGACGGTGGCTCACCCGACTAGTTATACCTGCAGATTTTTAAGAGGTACAACTAGACGTAGGTACAAGTAGACGTAGGTACAACTAGACGTGTATCCCACCGACAAGTAGTATCACCTAGCTTGTACGGATGCGACCAGTTGTCCCTACGACTAGTAGTCCCTACGACTAGTAGTCTCTACGACTAGTGGTCCCTCCGTCTAGTAGTCCCTACGTCTAGTTGTACCTACGCGTATTTTGCGTCCTTATAGTCTAGTTGTATCTATCCTTCAATTCGTTACCCTGTTTAATTGATTACTGCACGAGTACTTTTTAATAATACCCTTAATTAAATCAGGAACTGCAGTGTTCCGAGTCGATTGAGTATGATTGGCAAATATTTTTCACCGCAATACGATGTTTTAGTAGTTTTACAGACGTTAATTGGAGGCTGAAAGCTACGCATTGCTGTCCAGGGTCGAAATGGCAGCTATAGTTGTGATTAAAATTTTCCAGCCCTAGTACCGAAAATCGCTTATTTAATTAAAACATTTATATATATCATTAAATATACAAGCAGTATATCCCTAATGAATTGCAATAGACCGCTGCCCAGCAATTATGTATTACTATTTTTGCTGATTCCTTTAAATATTTTTTCACATAACCTTAAAGTATTTGCATTGATTAGTGTGCATATCTTATAGTTTACAATGGATTTCCCAGTGATCAATGAACAATGAAGTGTACAATGAAGTTGAGGTCCAGCGGTTGAAAACTTGACAAAAACTATGCAATGTACTACACATACTTCTCCATTTAACATACACTGTAAATAATAAATGTGATTGGAATATGTTCCATTTGTTTTGATTTTATTTTCATAATTAGTTGTTATTTCGTCACCAGCATAGCAACCCGTTAAACCCATGTTAGTTTTAAACATTTGTAATTCTTTTTTTCTGTCTTTTTAGCCTATTTTAATTGATAAAGGCATTCTGTAGATCGACAGGAAAATACATTTCCACCGATATGCGGATATTTTCTCTGTGATGTTCACGAGCTGATAAAAAGGTTGTAAAGAAACATGCTTGCCTACATTATTGATATATTTTCTCAGGTTTGTATAGTTTGGTGAAAAACAGCAATCGTACCACGGACCGATTTCATCTTCGTCTCGAACTTAAAAATGATCCCGAGCTGAAAAAAAGTCATTTTCGGCCCTAGGTACGAAATATACTCTTAAACTATCGTAGGATCGGTGAATACTAAACTCTATCTTGGAATTGCATACACTCGCTCCTATCTATAAGTTTACGTTGTTGCCATACAATAAATGTATAAATAAACACAAAAATTCACAAGTTTTGTTGTAAGTACCTATATCATGTATAAATAAAAACATACAATAGCATCATGTGTAGGTGTATTCTGTAAAACTTTAAACAAATATTAGTAAAATAGTTTTCAGGTAAACTATTGTTGAATGAATTAGTTTTAAGTTGTTAAATTAACCTCGACCCGTGCTATATGTTTAATGGAGTTTGTCCGGAAAAATACCATAGTAAAATTAAATCAAATTAATAAAATCAAAAGCAATTCATAACAAAAGAATAATAGATACAGAATGAACGTAATTTCTGAAAATCGACAGGGCCCACATATGCGAAGCCTGTGCGTGGGGACCAAGTTGACTCAATAATTGGCAATTTGTCATAGTCTTGTAACATAATTAACTAACACTACTATAATTATCAATACATTTTCAAAGGAGAAACAAACGTCCGATTATTTCTAGGCAGCCACAACAGATAACTTTAGAAAACTACGTTATAAGAATTAGAACAACTGAAAAATTAAATTGTTAACATGATTTGTTTAGCCTAACGAAGAAAATCATGAAAACCAAATTTAACTCCCATAAGAAAAACATGGGGAGCAATTTCGTTTACGTATAAGCCGAGTGAGATAATAGAAAAATATACGCCGATGCTTGATGGCAAATCTGTGCGTGCATACCTTTAATTTGAGACCTCAATAATAAAAATGGTCGGGTAGCAGAGCCAAACGAATAACTCATTTTCTTAAATTTATAAGATTATTTAATTATTTATTTATTTTAATTATTTATTTATTTTACTTGACTGTTAATACCAAAGCAAAAGCTTCAACTTCGTATGCGTCAGGATTACGAATAAACCTATAACAATCTTACACCAATTTACCAATAAGTTTAATAAACCAAAATTGCACATACTCCGGACAGATTTCTTATAAAGATATGCTATGACAATATGATCAAATCTCTATTTAATATCGTTTAGGTTGTGTATTGATTAGTCAGGACATTGATTGAATAAATAAATATTTAAACAGTATATATATATACTAAAACATAAATACAGCACAAAACAAACATATAAAACATAAATGTAAAACATAAAACATAAATGTACAATACATAAATAGCCTAATTGTTACAATAAATTAACAATGATCATTTGTTAAATTAATCAGTTCAATGTTATTTATATAATACGACCATAAAGATAGGCGAATGTCTCTCGTGTTTATTAGGACAATAACACAATATACCTTATTGTTGATTCAGGAACACGCCATGAACAGCTATTTCTGAGAAAGGTGAACGAAATACCTGTTGTAAAATGCAGCTAAAGACATCTGCTACAAGGTATTTGACTTATTGTTTAATATAAGCAAAACCATATACAGGGTGAATAAAAAGTCAAGACCCCCCCATTTAATATTTTTCCAAGTAAATATACAGAGATATCCTTTTGGGGGTCGTGCAATCTTAGCAGGAAGTTTCTTATGATTTTGAAATTTTTGAGTGTCCCCCCAAAAGGGGAGATTTGGGGGGTAACTCAAATATTTTAAATGTAAACCCCCTTCAAGTGACATCTCATTTTAAAGTGTTTACAAAAACTTAAAGAATGGTGAAAACTAGAGGTCGCTATCTCTTCTCTGACCAAAATGGTAGCCCGTCAAATGTTGTGGAAAATCGATGGTAAAATTGGTTCGTAATTGTAATGGCTACCATTTTGGATAGAGAAGAGATAGCGAACTCTGGTTTTCACCATTCTTTAAGTTTTTGTAAACACTTCAAAATGAGGTGTCACCAAATGGGGGTTAACGTTTAAAATTTTTGAGTGTCCTCCCAAAAGGGGGGATTGGGTGGGCAACTAAAAACTTTTTAATGTAAAACCCCATCAAGTGACACCTCATTTTGAAGTGTTTACAAAAACTTAAAGAATGGTGAAAACCAGAGTTCGCTATCTCTTCTCTATCCAAAATGGTAGCCATTACAATTACGAACGCGTACAGCGTACAGAATGTCCCGTTAATCCCCACATGTTACTCAGAATGGACTTCATTTGCAAATTCTTAGAGTTTCCTTTCACAACAATCCATTCCAGTTATTGGGCTGTTGGGTCAGCCCCCTATCGCGTAGTTGCGAGAAAGTGATTGACCTCCAATCAACCTAAATATTGTTTTGATTTTACGTAGTACTGTGGTAGTTGCTAAAAAAAAACTCTTTCACTCACAGTATTAAACATTTTCAAAAAAATGTTGATTATATCAAACTGTTATGAACAGTGTGATTTTTTTATTAATAGCATAAGCTTTTAGTTGAGTATTTTAAACTCCTTGAATGACAAAAGTTTTAATGTAAAACAGATCTATAATCTGATGTACGCTGCCCAACAAAGACGTTATTTATTTATTAGTTTTGAAATAATTCCTGGTAATACACATAGCTTAAAAATTAGTCGATTTCGAGAAACAGGTACACTACATTATAGTGCAAACAAAACGTAAATAACACTTAGATTTTCAATCCATTACTGATTTTATACTGATTTTAAGTCTAAATCTACACAGGCAACGTAACTTATGAAATACTCTTAGTTTATGAAGGCTTGGCATAAAAAGTCTTGTAAAGTGCCATTCTTGTGTGTTCTCTGGTTAGGAAACTAGCCTTAATATTTAGTTGTTTATGATATAAGCGGTCTGATTCATACCTACAGTGTATTCAGGTTTTGGACTGGCTAGGCCTATATACAAATATGCATGAGTGTTCGATGTCATCATGAGCGTTGGAATGTTTACCTAAAAAAAAGTCGTAGTAGAGGGTGATAGTGTAAATCATAGCTGTTCCCTGGTCCATCGGCCGGTGCCTCGAGGGATAATGACCGACGGACTAGGGATAGAGCTGATGACTC